TCTCTCCCAGGAGAAACTTCCTGGGCTTTTGTCTGAAGCTCTTCAAGGACATGGAAAGTTCTAGAAAAATTCCCGCGTTGGTGGTTTCCAGGCTGGAGGGAAAGGGTAGTACGCAGGGTGTCAGACAGCCGTGTTGACTGGCCAGTTAGCCTTGTAGCTCCACCCTGTGAAAATCAAGAACACTCTACACTGACACATCACTCCATGGCGTCGTTCTGAAGTTGAAGGCCTGTCTCTAAAGACGAAGATGGAAAACATAAAACTTTCCACTAACAAGCTACGTATTCAGATGTAGAAAGTATAAGGGTGGCTTTCCCTCCTCTGGCAGAAATCCACGGGTCTTGATGTGCAAGAGAGCTCACCCCCAAATAGCCTCCCTCAGCCTGGTTTCCAAGGTTGGGGGGAGGGAGCAGCGTGGGCCCCTTAAGAGCTGTGTGTATGTGTGTCGGCATGTGTGTGTGTGTGTGTGTGTGCATGCGTGTGACATGGTCCCCATGTCAAGGCTCCTTGTGCCTTACCAGCAGAGCTGTTCTTTGTCACGCAGCCTGCCTTTTTTCCACCACCTTCTGGATGCTTCAAGGCCTCTGCACTGGCCGTGAGAAGGTGCCCTTTGCTCCTAAGCCCTGCCATCTGTTCTGCTTCCCTGGCCGTGGACTCCTGGCTGTAGTGAAGCGCGGGGCGGGGAGGCGGTCCAGGCTCCTGGGAAGCCCAGATTTCCCTCCCCAGGAGGGGTCACCAACCAATCGCCTTCATGGGGGCGCGTGATGGGGAGGGGCAGGTGATGCGAGAGCGTGACAGGGAGGCGGCCATAGGGGCAGGTCTGCCCCCGTGGGTGGTGGTGACTTCTTTACGGTCCTGTTCTGTCCCCCACCGGCTCCCCTGCCGTCTCCCCCATCCTGGCTCTGAACACGGGAAGGACCCAACACCCCGGCTCTCACCTCTCTCCCTCCACAGCCTCACTGAGCGCTGGGACCCACTGGGATGTCCTGGGAGGCTGAGGCCAGACAGCACGGGCGGGCACGGGCCTGACTGCCCTCTGAGGCCACCCGGCTTCCCAGAGCATTTCCACCGGCATCTGTTCTGACAGGTCCCCCCACACGCTGCCTGGGCGCCTCCCTCTCTGCCCTCAGTTGCCTCCACTGTCGGAATTCCTAGGGATTTTGTGATTCTCAGGAAGCACAGCGTGGCCGAGGCCAAGTCAAATCCCTTTCCCACCCGTGCGGGGTGCTGGACTGGGCACCCCTGCAGGAGTCCCCCGTGTTCTCGTACCCATGCGGGTGAGCCCCAGAGGCCTGGTGTCCAGACAGTGGAGCCGTAGGATCTCGCATCCACGCGGGTAAACACCAGGGGTGGTGGCCGAGCCATCGTGGATCACAGATTTCTTTCCCTGTAACGTGGCGGGAGGGGGAAGGGTTTTGAAGCTGCTGGTCCTCCATCCATTCACTCCCTCAGTGGGCAAGAATCCAGAGAAACAGAAGGAAGGCAGGGGACCCACCTGGCCTCCTGTCACCTGGCCTCCGCCCCACAGCCTGGTGCCTGTCAGCCACAGGAGTACTTAGGGTCAAGAAACCCCAATCTGTGCATCACAGCTCCCTGAAAAGTGGCGTAGCCCTCACGCTCTCTGCCCAGGAAAAGGGGGAGAATGCCCAGTGCAGCCCGCTGCTGCAGGAACCCCCAGGAGACCAAGTTCACCTCTCAGAGCCGGGGTACATGTGACACAAAGGGGCAGCGTGGGTACGGCCCTCGTGTCCCAGATCCCATTCTTGGCTTTCTCCTGATTGCATCCTTGAAATTATTAGTAAACCTTGATGCTAGAGGCTCTCTGGTCCAGGGGAGTCTGGTCTGAGCTGTGTGCCTGCTCGATTGGGCGAGTTACTAAACATTTCTTGTCTTACCAAACGGGGATGAAGATAAGGGTAAGATAACATTTGTAATGGAGTTTGTTTCGAAAACCTAAAGAAATGCCTTTTAATCCTCCCCACATGCACCTCCCTTTGCCCCTGATCACTCCTGATTCTGAGCCCAAAATTCCTCCCGAGAGCCTGAGGCGGGTGGATGGCTCTGTGAGAAGTTGGTGAAACACTAGGTGTGGTAGAGGGGACAGGTTGCCCACTGGCCTTTAACAGATGAAGGGCCCAGCCTGGAGGACTCACCCTGAGGACGTTTACTTTGGCTGAGAGCTGGTCCCCTGCCCGTGGTAGCTGGGATCTAGACTCACCCCTCTAAGGTACAAGGAAGATACAGGCCTTGGTAAAGTCTTGGAAGATACAGAAAACTCAACCAGCAGAGGTTTAACCCATAAGGATATTTGGGTTTACTTGAAATGAAGTGTGGAGGTGGGTGATGCTGGAGCAAATCAGCAGCTGAGGGAGATCAAGGCTCGAGTTCTCTGGCTTTTCCGCATTATCATAGAATGACTGCCTGAAGCACCACATCACACCCTCACGCCACACAGCAAAGGCAGGCTGCAAGGGCCGTCCATGACCGCTAGAGGGCGCTCTCCTCTCACCAAGCAGTAAAAGCCTTTCCCCAGAGCCTTCAAGTAGATGCCTGCTCCTGCCTCATGGGCCAGAGTGGAGTCCTACCTCTCATTGAAAGAGAGGTTAGGAAAGTGAGTACTTTTTCCGTTCTTTATAGGGTGGAAGTCAGGGAAGGAACGGATGTTGGGAACTGGGAAACGGGCCTGTTTTGTCATGGGGGAAAGCCCTCCTCTCTGGCACTGGGGAACGTGGGGAGAAGGTACAGGGGACGCGACAAGCTGGACTCCAGAAAAAACTCCAGCCGAGACCCCCAGACAGGTCAGTGGCAACCCAAAGGGCATGACGCAGACCCAAGGACTCCCTTGCTCCACAGCCGCGGGGGCTTGGTCCCCTCTGTCCACCCACCTCTAAGGAGGGGCAGGAAAGTGGGAGAGGGAGGGTCCAGAGAGACTGGCGACTACTACCTGCAGACGCTGCGCAAAGTACCGTCACACGCTGCATTTCCAGAGCGGCCGGAGTAAACACAGGGAGTTTATTTTTACCTCTCACTAACAGGTGAAGATTGCGAGAAAGATCAGATACGCTTCAGATTTAAAAAAAAGAGAAGCCGGGCTTCCCTGGTGGCGCAGTGGTTGAGAGTCCGCCTGCCGATGCAGGGTACACGGGTTCATACCCCGGTCCGGGAAGATCCCACGTGCCGTGGAGCAGCTGGGCCCGTGAGGCATGGCCGCTGAGCCTGCGCGTCCGGAGCCTGTGCTCCGCGACGGGAGAGGCCACAATAGTGACAGGCCCGCATACCGCAAAAAAAAAAAAAAGAGAAGCCAACATTTCTCTGCACATTCTCCCGCGAAGGTCACGGCACACGCACGACACATACACTATTGCACACACACGCATGCTGCTGTGTGCGTGTGCTGGGGTCCCCATCCTGATGTTTCCTCATGTGCAGTGTATCTCCTGACCCCCGGGGCTTCTGTACTTAATCGTCCTGGTGGCCAAGGGTTGCGGGTGGGTGATGGATCTGCTGGAAAATTGGGAAGAAAACTGATCGCGCAGAGGGCGGTACCTCCTTCTGGGGACCAGGTGGCTGGGGAGGGCGGGAGGGCGGGGCTCCTGGGACCCCAGAGACAAGCTCTGGGAGGAGGCGTCCAGGAGCACGGCTGGCTGAGCTGAGCTCCCTGGAGCAGGGCTGACTGCCCCGGGGGCACTTGAGGCTGCTCAGCCCAGCACTGCCCGCCAGGGTGAGGCATCTGCCCAGGTCCAGGCAGGTCCGACTGGCTCCCTTCCGTCTTGCCTGTGTCGGTGATAAGGCGGCACCGTGGCCTCCGTATCTCCCACCTCACCCCCCATTTTGTTCTATTTTCCAGTTTGGAGTTCAAGCGTGGGGGGCCAGGCAGGTGGGTGTTTCCTCAAGACGTCAACCCGCGCCGTCCTCTGCAATTGTTTTTATTATTAACACTTGCAGACGCTTTGCGATGGATTCGATCTCCTAAGTCAGTTTCCATCTGGGGGAAGTGAAGAAATTACCAGGCAACTTTTATTACCACCATGAATACGTAAAGAATGTGAGTAAGGTTTGGTGCCTGTTTTCATGATTTGACAAGGGTATGACTCCGAGTTGCTTCTGAGACTGCAACCCAATGGCCTGGTGCATGGACGCCGATGGCTGATATCCATCGAGAGAGCCTAACGCAATTACAAGTCACGCTCTCATCTGGCCCAAGATAGCCTGAGTTAATGTGTAATCCACATTACACATTATGTGTAATGTGTGAGATGTGTAATGTGTGGGATGAGAACCCAGAGGTGCAAATATCACATTCCTCCCTCAAAGGGAAAATCCTTTCTATTTTTTAAAAGAAGTACCAGCACAGAGTAACATTTATCTCTTTTAATTTTTAGGCTGATTTTGGGTACGAGGAATCAGAGCAGTCAATCCAGGAAGTGAGTTCAGGCTCAGAGGACCCCGAAACATCCAGCCAGAGATGGAGTTAAGACCCCGGCGCTGGGCTGATGCCATCCCCACCGGAAAAGCGTCTAAAACTGACACTCCCCTGCAAAGGTGAAGTGTGGGGAAGAAGAGGTGCATTAGCAAGAATAAGTATTTTCTTTCACTTTTAAATAATTACAGAGAATTTGCTTAAAAGCGTGACGGGAACGTTCTTTAGAAAACAAAGATTGTCTTTATATTTTGTCATTCTTTCCACTCCCCACCCCCAAGCAAGCGATGAAGCGCGTTACCAAGGACAATTCTTCACAGATCTGTAGTTCGAGATGTGAAGAAAAGCCAGGAAAAAAATAGGGTGCCTCACCCAATGGGTCTTTCACCCCTGTGTTTCCATCCCCCGGCCCTGGATTCAGACTGATTTAGGCAAAACCACTTCTTTCTAGTCACCCCTTGGCCATTACTTTGGGTAAAAACGCAGCAGGCAATTTGGAGCAGGGTCCCGTGGTCCCATGTGGTGTTTTTTTCTCACGAATTCTGCATCTTCAGACCCCACGGTGTTGTCATGGGCTTACCTTCTAAAGGTTCATCAGCGGCCACAGGATGGAAGCACCAGGGGACTCCAGAAATGTTGTTATCAAAGCAGCAGCCTTTACTTTTGCACTCCGTAGACGTGATACTGGGGTGACCACAATTTACCCTTCGATGGGGTTCCATCTGACACGTCTCTGAAAGTACATGGGCCAAGAGGTGAAGGTAAGTGGCAGGCTGGATCCCTTCCTGTTATTACCCGCACTGCAGCTCACTTCCTTTCCCCAATTACATCAGCAGCCAGCCAAGCAGTTGATGTGGACCCAGGGCTCCCCACACAAGAGGAGACCCTGTCCTCATTTCCTGATGCGCAAACACCGAAACTCTGGGAAAATGCAAGGTGCCTGGGATTTGTAAACTTTGCACCTACCTAGATAATCTACTCATTTGCTCATTAATTTCAACAATTATTAAACTTTATTCACTCAATTGATAAATATCTGTGGAGCACCGCTTGTGGGTGCTAGAAACGGGAGCCAGCGCAGCAGAAATAGACAGGGATCTATTTATCCCCTCAGGAGTCAAGTTCATGCCAGGCCTTGTGCTGGGTGATAGGGACCCAGAAATTAAAAATAGAGACGTTGTTGTTAAGAAGCTCACAGTCTGACGGAGGCGGGAGCTGAGTAAAGGTACAAAACGGCACAGTGCAACCAGCCATGGGCAGGCCCAAGAGGGGAGAGTGACAACAGGCTGAACAAAGCAAGGAGGGCTTCCTGTCGGAGGAGGCTGACCTGATGAGGACGAGGCAATGGGTGCTCCAAGCAGAGGGAGTAGCGCATTCAAAGGTGGTGGAGAGAGAGAGCAAAGTGTGTTCGAGGTAAGATGGGGAGTCGGGGTAGGGTAGTTTGGGGAAGCCAGGCTGAGGGCTGGAGTGGACGACTTCAGCCCAAGAGCAAAGGGAGACACTCGGAAGCTTTAAGCAGAGGAGTGACGACATTGACCCAAAGTGGAGAACGCTCGCGGGCGGCTAACGGCTCCCACGTGTTCTAGATGCAAGATGGGGAGGGTCTGAACTCAGGGCCACAGTGTAGGGCTCTGAGAAGGCATACTGCTCAGACCGGGTGGTGGGCGGGTTGAGGCAGGTCGCAGAAGAAGAATCCGGAACCCCTACCCTGTCTTGTGGGTGAGGGGGGATGCTTCGAAGGTTAGGGGCTCCGCTCTGCACGTGGGCTCGGCGTGCTCGTGGATGAACGCCACCAGCTGGCCTCCAGAGAGAGGCCTGGCCATGCAGCCGCGCCATCCACTTCCGGACCAGACTCTGTCCCCGGGTGAAGGGGACGCGCAGCCAGGCCTTGGGAGTGTGGGTGGTAAAGAGACTGGGAGGGAAGGAGCCGGAACAGAGCAAGGAGGACCGAGGTTCAGGGCAGACATGGTCACGAGCTGGCCTTGACCTGGAGCATCTCGCTCTCAGAAGAAGGCAGTCCAACCAAAGACAGATAGATGCCTGGCGTCTCCTAGACTGGGAGGCAGGATGCTCGCCTTTGGTCCCTTGTGAAGTCCACCTGAGCATCTTAAAGCGGAGCCCGTCACTCAAGCTGGTCTTTGTGGGTTTTTGTATCGACATCTGAGGATCGCCTCCAGCTTTCTTTGAAGAAAAGTTTCTGTGGCTTTGCAGAAAGACGGGCGTCCATCTCCCACTGGCGGTGCAGCCTTTTGGGGACATCAAACCTCCCAGGGTCTGGCCTCCCCGCCATAGAGAGAAGGTGGTCATTGCCCACTCCACCGGGCAGGGTGGTGGGGAAGGTCAAGACAGGCTGTGTGTGCAGAGCTTGGACCACAGCTCTTTTGTCCTTTCTCTCCCTGCAGGATGCGATGTAGCAGCCAGCAGGAGGGGCAGAGAACTGCTTTGCTGGGTAACCTGACCCCCTCCCAGCTGCCATCCTAAACGGGAACTGAAGATTTCCAAGGGTTCTGTCCTCAACAGGAGTCCATCTTTTTTTCTGTTGCATAACAGGACTAAATGGAAATGATTTCCAGCCAGGGCTACACTTGTAATTGGATGGAGTTTTCTAGTTTTCTGTTTTCACAGGATCGCTGACCCTGTGAGAACCATAGAGAAAGGTTGAGCCTTGGGCCACAGGGCAGGGGCCAGTGGGTGGCCAGAAGCTGGTGTGGAGAGTGCGGACCAGGGCTAGGCTGCCCAGCCTCCCAGAAGCGGACAGTGCCGTGGGCAGAGCTGGGGACTGGGGTGCCAGGGAAGATGCAGACGGACCGGGGTGCGGCCAGGTGCAGACCACCCTCCTCCATCCCCACAGGAGGTCATACGTCCTTTCAGGTCCAAGCCCCCTCCCTCCTCCTTGCCTTAGGCTGTGGGGCCTTCCTCCCCCTATCCCCTCCTCACATGCCTGGTCCGCTGTTCCTGACTTGTGAGGTCCTTGGGACGTGTCCAGAGATACATGGGACCCATCCTTTTACCTCCCTTCAAACCTCTATCGGAATCCTCATTTTGAAACCTTTGGAAAATCCTTCTCCAGCCCTCTCCCTTTAGAAGTGTATCTACCAATAATAAGCAACGTTCATTGAGCACTTTGTAGCTTTTCCCAAATATCATCACACGTAATTTTGTTGACAGCCGTCTGAAGCTGAAGATTGACCCTGTTCTGCAGGTAGAGGATTTGAGACACAAACACGTTCAGAGGAAGCAACAGTGTCCTCCCTCCTTAATGCTCTCATCTGGTGACACCCATGGACTAGGCACTGATGGGACGCATGCACCAATGGGACAGGTGGTCTGGGTTCCATGGAACAGGGGGCCCAGGAGAGCCCACAGACCGGGGACGCCCGTCCTCAGAAGAGGCTCTTAGAGGTCTGTGTGGACCTTGAGTGGGTCCAGCCCCAGGGGTTTGGCTTGGGCATTAACATCAAAGATAGCTCTTTGAAATGTGATATTTAAGAGCCCCAGAATATTCTAGCATCAGTACTGAAGAGACATGCCAACCGAGGCCGCTACGTTCTCACCGCAGTCCCCAAAGCTTCCACGGGCCCCTCCACCCTGCTGCTATCTTCCCCTGTTCTGCTTTCCAGAATCTTCCCAGGGTCTAGAACAGCCCCTGGCACTAAACAGCGCTTGGCTCAAAAGTACGTTGTGAAACCATGACTCCCAGAGGTGGACCCCTGCCCCGCGTGCCCACCACAGAGCAGGAAAGGGGGTGTCTTACCAGCCTCGCCCTGAGCCAGGCTGCTGAGGGCCAGAGCAAAGACCATGACCAGGACGCAGGTCACCTTGGGCTCCATGGTGGCTATGACCTTCCTCCTCTGTCCAAAGGAGACCACCGTCAAGGATGAGTGTGCGTCCTGGCCCTCGATCTTATACCGCAGGCTCTGTTTGCTTTTTAAAGAGGGTCAGATAACGTTTGCCTAAGGAGGGCCCCGACACCCTTCATTCCAAGTAATCTCCATGATTAAAAGGTGTTTCCTAAACGCAGCCAAGCCCAACTGACAAGTTTGTTGACAGAGGAAAATGCTATATTGCGTGGTCATCTTTGTTGAGGGAGTTGAGATTCAGAAAATCCCTCTCTTATCCTGTGGCAGTCTCCTTGGTCACGACATGGTCCAGTGCCTGAGCTTTTCGGAGACCCTCCTGCTAAGTCAACAGTACACTCACGGGGGAGTGAGTCATAGGTGAGATGCCCATGCCAGGCACAGTGTGTCAACAATGACTCACCGGTCCCCCATGGCGATTCAGGGACGGACAGGCAGACAGGGGCAAGTGAAGCCCCCTGGCCCAGCCTGGTCCTTTCCAACTGGGCATGCAACTCTTTCCAATGGTTTTAAGGATCCTTGTGCCTGGGCAAAATGACCTGGAAATACCAGGAACTGGACTTCAAACTTCTTCTTTTCTCCACTCGTCTGTCTTGTCAGACGTTTCCATGGCAAATTGGTACATGAGCAAAGCACCCTTAGGTCCTTCAGCACCCTGGCGCTGTCCAGAGAGCCATGCCCTTCCTTTTGGCATGGACATTGAAAATTCACCAATGTTCAACATCCCACTTAAAGGAATTGTGGGAGCATTTTTACTTATTTACCTAAATTAATTAATTAGATTTTTTTTTTGCTTTGTGGAGTCCTTTCACAGTGAGGTTGGGTGTACGAGAGCTGACGTGACACTGATGAAGCAGCGGTCTCTCCCTCTAGCAGGGGCCCTGCATCTGGCGGGGGGGGGACCTCCCTCTCTCAGGTCCTTGTGGTGCAGCATCCCTGACCCTGTACCAAAGGGCCACCTCCAACCGCAGTGTCCCAAGTCCCTCCCCTGCTCTGCAGTTCTCACTACCTTCTAAGGGACACAATGATTTGCTTACACTCTGTCCTTGTTATGTATTGACACCCTCGCCCCCCCAGTAGAACGGAAGGTCCACAATGCAGGGAGCTTCATCTATTTTGTGCGTTCAGGTGGCCCCAGCACCTACGACAGCGCCTTATTCAACAAATATCTGTTGAAGAATGAATGAATGAACGAACGAATGAATGAATGTAAGAGAAATTCTTTTCTTCAGTGAAAGATTAGGTTCGGAGGAAAATGAGTCTGGCCTTGGAGAGAGAATAACTTCTCTTGGGTGACCTGGTACGTGTGTCCTGTCAGCCCATTGGGAGGGGAGCAGGGTCAGAACTGGGGCCCCCACATTCTTAGTCAGGCTCCCCCCCAGCCCGCCACCCTGGCTCCAGCTGCCGACCCTGAGCCGGGGTCTCCAGGGGAGGCCCAACGGGCAGGATTCGTGGTTGTTTGCTACATCCTTCCCGGTGTGTGTCTGACTTTGCCCTCCCGAGTGAGTGGGGGGTGGGTGGACGGGGGCCCACATCACTCTCCAGACCGCCTCTCAGATTTGCAGTGGTGATTCCAAGACTCCTGGCAGACAACACTAACACAAGACCACACGATGGTCTTGTTTTTAGAAAATGACCATTTGGTGAAGAAGGCACTGCACTGAGCTGAGTATTGGTCCACTAACGAGCTGGGTCGCCTTGTACAAATATTGGAAGTCCTCTTGGGTTTCACTTTTCTTGACAGAAAATAATGTGTCCGGACCCTGAGGCAGCTGGAGCCTAATCTAACTTGCAGTCCTCTCGTGCTAGGTTTCCAAGTGGGCGCCCCTGGTTTTGCATGCCCAGTAAGCCTTCCTGCTTTGGGGCTAAAGTTTTCCATCTCCAGGCCCCCTCCCCACACCCACTCCCACTGTGTGTAGTTTGACTTGGCCTGCCCCCCGTCGACCTCCATCTCACAGTCACCCTGGTTCTGCTCGGGGGTGCATGTCTGAGTGGGGTGGGCTGGGGTCCTCTGTCTGCCCATCCTGGTCAGCTCTCTGAGCCCCTGGAGGCGCATCAGCTGTGTCTCCAGCCCTCACATCCCCTGGCTTTTGGCCACTGTGGTGGCACCAGTAGGACGTGGATACTTGGGAGAAAGTGAACTCAGTGGGCGGAGGTTGCCTCCTGGTCCCTCCTGGCAGTGTCACCCTGGACAGGCTGTACCTCCACGTCTACCCACAGCCCCGTGGGCGGCCCTCTCCACACAGCAGTCTTCTCTGGCTCACCAAAACTGACCCCTCTCTTCACTCCTCAGGCTGAGGGGTTCACTAGCTCCAAAGAGAGGTCAACACTCTCTCCATCAAACTTTCCTTGAATTACCCAGATTTGGAGTGACAGGCCTGCTTCCTGCAGGGCCTCTGACTGACACAGAAATTGCTACCAGCAGTGACCCTGTTAACCGACCCCGGAAATGAGACCCAAGGTTGGCTCCCAGGGCATGTCTCCTGGTTGGAGAGGTGGAAAAAGGTCCCAAACCTACCAGAGGTGATGTGGAGTGAAGTGTGAGGTAAGGTACCTGGGAGCATGAGTGTGAGTTAAGGTACCTGGGGGCATCTCGTTTCCATGGTAACAGTCACGTGATAAATATGGGGGTCAGTTGGCTTCTTCTGAGAGCTACACAACATTCAAGAAGGAAAGAAGGAATGGAGGAGTGAGAGTGTCCCTCTGGGAATGGGAAAAGGGAGTGGCTTTCCCAACTAAGCCTCCACTGTTGTGAGGCAGTGAGGGCTGGGCTCAGGCTGGGCCAGGCTCCTGGATTTTCAGCACCAATTAGACGTCCATCACATCCCACTTCCTTACACCAAGGTCTTGGCCTTGGAGAGCAAAGAGTTAAACTCTGAGACATGGGGTTGGGAAGTTTGGGCAGAAAGGTGAGGCCAAGAATTTGGGATCCTGAGCAAATACCCTGACCCTTCTCCCCCAGCAGAGATGACCCCTCCACCCCCATCTGAGGCCAAGCATCTCTCCCCTCCATAAATGCTTCCATTGACCATTGACCACCCAAGGGCTCACACGGGATGTGGACACAGGATGGGGCCATCTCCACATCCCGCATCGCTTCCAGGTGCACGAGGGTGAGACCCCTCATGGCCCAGACACAAGCACTGGCCTGCCAGGGTGGACAGCCTGTGCCCAGGAGAGTTGCAGAGCTGCATTGGCAGGATTCTGGGGGAGACTGAGGGTAGATTTGGGGGTGTCAGACCACAGAGGATGAGGTGCCAAGCTCAGAGGACTGACATCGTCACACTCCCCAGGATTCAGGGCGGATGTGCTGGCCAAGCGTACAGGAGGCTATGACCGTCCTGTGAGTGGGTAGCCAAGCCCTGGGCTCGAAGGTGGCCAAGAGTTCATGCAGGGGAAATGCCGGAGACCCACCTTCCACCTCCAAAACATGGCAACCTCACTACTCAAGGTGGCCCTGGGTTAGCAGCATCCCACCCCTGGGATCTCGGCAGACACGCTCCCTCCCAGGCTTCATGAATTCAAATCTGCATTCTAGAAAGTTCCCAGGTACTTCACAGGCACGTTAGCTGTGGGAAGCTCAGTGATGCTGCAGGTGAGGGGGTCCCGGCTCAGAGAGGCTTCAGTGTTGGATGGACCTATGATGTGCACCCTTCTCGGCCACCCTAGGGTCCAACATCCCTTGACTCCACACTCAACCATCCTCCCCAGGCTCCTGCCAATGCAGTCCTGCAACTCTTTTGGGTTCCCCCATCACTCAGATATTCAAAAATGCCCTGGTCGGGGGCCACCAGGATCTTTCACAATCCCCTCTGGGCTTCTCAAGTCTTTGTAGCCCAGAGTTGATGTGGGACCGAGTCCCTCACCAAGAATGGAGGCCAGGTCACCTTGAGGAAGAGCCTTACAGCAAAGCCACAGATACAAGTGATGAGCCGTCCCCCAAGCCTTCCCCAGAGTGATCTGAGCCATTCACTAGTACTCGTTTGCTAAGGTTTAATTGAGTTCCCCAAAATATGTTGCAGTCCTAACCCCCAGTATCCGTAAATGTGACCTTATTTGGAAATAGGATCTTTGCAGATAATCAAGTTGAGATGAGGTCATTAGGGTGGGCCCTAATCCATTATGACTGTGTCCTTATAAAAAGAGGATATTTAGACACAGACATACACAGAGGGAATATGATGTAAAGACACCCAGGGAGAACACCATCTATAGCCAAGGGAATGCCTGAGGCTGTTAGAAGCTATGAGAGAGTTACCCTCAGAAGGAACCAACCCTGGTGACACCTTGATCTCAGACTTCTAGGCTCTAGAAATGAGAGACAATAAATTTCTGTTGTAAATTCAGCTTGTGGTACTTTATGATACAGTCCTAGAAACTAATACAACCGGGGTGACTACTACTGGAGAAAGAAAACTATCTAGGCTTTCTGAAGGTCATTAAATATTAGCTCTGAACTGACACTAATCCTCAGAGCCCAAATCTCCTGTGGTTCACCAAAGATGGAACCTGTGGATTTCAGATGTTGGTTGAAGTCTTGGTCCAAGACATGGCCTCACTATGGGTCCAGCGAGGTGACACACACATCCCTTGGGGACCTCCTAAGGCCCAGAACAGATACACTCAGTAGCTACATTGCTTCTCTGATTTTTGGAGAGGCATATTATAGCGGAAGTCTCTCTCACCAAGACAGGGAAGAAAAACCACTATCACTGTCCAGGAAGGAATTGCAGAAATCCATGTCACTATCAAGGATGTGAAAGATTCAGGAGTGGTCACTGCACATGCCCTTTGAGCTCGCATGTTTGGCCAGTGCTCAGGCCAGGTGAGTTACAGAGAATGACTACAGAGCACACATCCTCTGTAAAGGGCCAGGTAGTAAATATTTTAGGCTTGGTGGAACACATTTGACCTCTATTACATGTTCTTCTTTGTTTTATTTTTGTAACCCTTAAAACATGTAGAAACCATTCTTA